ACATTTTAACAGCAAATGATTCTGGTCATTTTGTGGCTCTTGTACTCCTCGATCTTACTGCCGCTTTCGATACTGTTGACCACAGTATCCTCATCTCTCGGCTTGAACACTGGGTTGGGATTACAGGTGCTGCATTAGACTGGTTCCGCTCATATCTCTCTGACAGGAGTTTTTGTGTGAAGGTGGGTAAAAATCTATCGACTTCAATACCTCTTTCCTGCGGTGTCCCGCAGGGCTCGATTCTCGGACCCCTTCTATTTTCACTCTATCTGCTTCCGCTGGGGTCGATCCTAAGAAAACATGGTATTCCATTCCATTGCTACGCCGATGACCGTCAGATCTACCTGCCACTGAAACCAGCCGGTGCTTGTTCCGTCCACCCTCTCCTCAAATGTCTGGACGACATTAAGACATGGATGGCTTCAAATTTTCTAAGTTTTAACGACCAGAAGACTGAAGTCATTGTCTTTAGCCCTAGCTCAGCTACCGCCTCTTATCCTGTGAACCTGGACTCCCTTCAGCCTTATCTGAAGCACTCTGTTAAAAACCTTGGAGTGGTTTTTGACTCGGATTTTAAGTTCGACAAACAGATCAGTTCAGTTCTGCAGAGAAGCTTCTTCCAACTGCGGCAGTTAGCTAAGCTCAAGCCAGTGCTGTCTAGACCCGACCTTGAGACACTAGTCCATGCATTCATCACAACCCACCTGGACTATTGTAATTCACTGTATGCTGGGGTCAGCCAGGCCTCTATCTCACGGCTACAGCTCGTCCAGAATGCTGCAGCTCGGCTCTTAACCGGTACACCGAGGTATGAGCACATCACACCAGTTCTGTCCTCCCTACACTGGCTTCCTGTGAGAACTAGGATTGATTTCAAAATTCTCCTCCTGACCTATAAGTGCCTAAATGGCCTCGCACCCATCTACCTCTCTGAGCTACTGGAACCATATGTTCCCTCTCGGGCTCTGAGATCATCCGATCAGCTGCTTTTGGTTGTTCCAAAAACACGACTGAAGCTCCGAGGAGATCGGGCGTTTTCAGTCATGGGTCCCAAACTGTGGAACAACCTACCCCCCAACATTAGGCATGCCACCTCCCTTCCTGTGTTCAAATCCCTGCTAAAAACATATCTGTTCTCTCTGGCGTTTCATACTGTGTGAGTTGATTTAGTATATCTTGTTCCATGTCTTCATTTTAATGCTGTTGTTTTAAATTTTTAAGGTATATTCTTACTGCTTTTTATTTCTCAGTGTTACCCTTAGTGTTAAGCACTTTGATAACAGTCTATCTGTTTTAAATTGTGCTCTATAAATAAATATGACTTGACTTGACTATACGGTTTCCTCCCACAGACCAAAAACATGCACGTTAGGCTGATTGGTAACTAAATTGTCCCTAGATGTGAGTGAGAGAGTGAATGGTTGTTTGTCTCATTTATCTCTATGTGGCCCTGTGACGGACTTGCAACCTGTCCAGGGTGTACCCCGCCTCTCGTGCAGCAATGGCTGGACATGGGCAGCAGTGCAGTGACCCCCATGACCCGAAAAGGAAGATGCAGGTAAAGATAATGGATGGATGTTCAGTTAGTTAAAAAAACATCTAAACAGACCACTCGTATAAAAACATTTGAAGAGTGTTGAGGAATAATTACATTTTAAAAATGCCCAATAAAAATTTGGTCAGTATGAGAATTTGGTGTGTAACATAAAGACACCATTAATGCTTTGATGTCCTTTTACTGCAGAATCCACAGACTCATTTGCCAACACAAGTGATACAGAAATCATCTTTTCATGACCCTGCAATGTAATAAAAACAGTACTTATAGTCATTTTGTTCTGCTCAATTGAGCCTCTGCAGGCACAAATTCCCAGTAATTCAAATGAGCTGACGTGATGTTCTGAAAAATTCGTTTTCATTTACCACTTGAGACACCTGAGTAGCAGCAGCCTGCAGTTCTTTTTCGCAAGAGTCTTGGCAGATGTAGGCAGACAAAGCCACCCCACAGTCTAGATAAATCGCTCGTGGTTCGGCAGCCTAGTTTCAGAGAGCTGCCGAGGTGAAAAGGTCACTCTGGTTCACTGCGTGCTTACCTGAACCTACAGCCAAGATTCCTGCTTGGATTAGATCAAATTGCTGAAACAACAATATAACACAGTAAGAAAACATAAGGCAAAGACATCTTTACTTGTAACCAAACTCTCAGAAACTCTGGACGAAGATATACTTGCTCGTCACACACAGAAACGAGGAATGTGTTTTGATTCTGGTGAGTTTAAACACTACGTGTGCGTGAGCTCCAGTTTCCTGATGGAAGCCTAATACGTTTCATAGACTCTCATTTTTGTCCTCTTCTCCTCCCACCTGCTGTTTATGCACCACTTCACAAAGGTTCGCCATGTTAAATGATCCTGGAATGATTGATCTACGGAAACCACTTCTCTGTGGTGTCCCGCCAGTTAGAACCGGTTGACTGAATTAAAAAGAAGATATTAACACTCAGTGGAACTGTAGAGAGGACATCACCTGACTTGGTTTAGTAACAGATGATTATCAAAGAGAAATGGATTTATTTCAGATGGTCTGCCAGTCACCACTTTGGTTTACAGTGCATTAGTTGAGCAAATCTCATGATACACCAAGTCCACCTTACATGACCATGACGGACAGATTTCTGATTTAGTGTAAGACAATTTCCTTGATTAGTTTTTTAAGCTCCCTCAGTTTCATATTAAATTAAAAAATTAACACCGAAATGGTTGTGATTGTGCAAGTCAATTTCAGACCTCAAAGAATGAAAAAGTGGCGTTTAAAGAGGAGCACATTTTAATTCAAACATGTTTGCACCTGCTAATTACTTTAAAGAACTTTTAGGAATTAGGTTAAATAAGCTATTTAGGTATTTTCTTCAGCGTCAATGTTTGCGGGTGTGGTGGGGTGGGCAGAGGTTAGAGAAGGTAGGCCTGTAATAGGAAGGTCGCCGGTTTGACTCCCCGGACCAACATCATAATGTGGGTTGGAAAAGGTGAAACACCCACATCTGCTCTGGATCCTTGAGCAAGACACTTAACCCCCCCATCATCTGCTCCCAAACAGGTCCCTCTTGAAAATGAGTCCTCGTGACTCAATGAGACTACCTGCATAAATAAAGGTTGAATGAAAATAAATAAATATAACGTGAAAAATACTTTGCCATCCACTGTTGTTGATATAAGCCAAAGCAGCCAACCAGGTAGAACTGAAAACAGTAATTAAAGGTCATCTCCTGACCTTTAAATCCACTGTCTACTTTTTATAGCAAAGTTTTTTTTTTCTTCTAAGATGTAATTCTGGAGTCATTGGTCAAGGAGTTTTGAGACTTTACAGTAAATTCATTAAACATACTCACCTGTTGCATAAAGCATCAAAGCAAAATGTCCTTACATCTACAGTGATTGAAAGTTTGTGAATCCCTTTATAATTTTCTATATTTCTCCATAAATATGACCTAAAACATAATCAGATTTTCACACAAGTCCTAAAAGTAAAGAGAACCCAGTTAAACAAATGAGACAGAAATATACTTTGTCATTTATTTATTGGGGGAAATGATCCAATATTACATATTTGTGAGTGATAACAGTATGTGAACCTCTAGGATTAACAGTTAATTTCAAGGTGAAATTAAGAGTCAGTTGTTTTCAATCAATGGGATGATGATCAGGTGAGAGAGGGCAGTTTGATTTAAAAAAACATGGATATATCAAAGTCTGATCTTCACAACATGTTTGTGTAAGTATATCATGGCACAAACAAAGGAGATGTCGGAGGACTTCAGAAAAAGAATTGTTGATGCTCATTAGGCTGGAAAAGTTTACAAAACCATTGGGCCCCACCAATCCAGTCATAAGACTGATTGTGTACAAATGGAGGAAATTCAAGACAATTGTTACCCTCCCCAGGAGTGGTCAGCCAACAAAGATCACTCCAAGAGCAAGTTGTGTAATAGTCGGCAAGGTCACAAAGGCCTCGAGAAACTCCCAAGCAACTGAAGGTCTCTCTCACATTGGCTAATGTTCATGAGTCCACCACCAGGAGAACACTGAACAACGATGGTGTGCACGGCCGTGCTGCAAGGAGAGAACCACTGCTCTCCAAAAAGCTAATCGGTGTGCAGGACTGATCAACAGTTACTGGAAATGTTTAGTTGAAGTTATTGATGCACAGGTGGGGCCAGATACTGAAAGCAAAGGTTCACATCCTTTTACCACTCGGAAGAATGTAATATTGAATCATTTTCGTGAGCAAACATAACATTTTTCTCATTTATTTAACTGGGTTGTCATTGTCTACTTTTAGGACTTGTGTGAAAATGTTTTAAATCATTGATGCAGAAATATAGACAATTCTAAAGGGTTCACAAACTTTCAAGCACCACTTGAATGCATGCGTGACAAAAGAAGTAATGTCGTTTAAGAGTAACCATTCTTTTTTTTTACCAACTCAAGTTAGGAGCTTTGATGGTGCGATTTATTTAAGGCACAAACATTTTCCATCCATTATAATCATGATGAACTCCAGGATATAATTTCCAAAATGAAACATTACATTAAGGCCAAGTACAAAAAAAAAAATCTAATCAAAAAAATAAATCAAATGGGAACCTGTGCTAGGACTCCATTAAATTAAATGTGAGCATAAAAATCACAGCATTCCGTCACATGTAATTTGAATAACGTTTCATTTGGTACACGTGAGCGGCAAACGCTCATACAACTGACAATTAAAAACAGGAGTTGTCATATTTATCAGCTTTAATCACACATACAAATTTAGTTGAACAGTACCATTCAATTAGAATGTTTTTGCAGTATTTATATTTAGTGTGAAGAGTATTTTTTTCTTCCTTTTTTTCTGATGACGAATATCCATTAGGATGATAGAAGCTTTCAGAAATACACCAGAAAGAGAAAATCAGAGAAACGACCGAGTATATGAATAAGCTGTAACATCTCAGAATATACTTTTTAAACACCTCAAAAGGCGACATTTATTTGTGGTTTATGTACCAGTGTCCATCCTCGATGCAATCTTTTCATTTCAACTGAAATTCAGCAGAACTTGTAATGCTATCTGAAACAAAAAACTGTGCCGCAAGCTCCGTTTGGTCAATGCTATAGAACGGAGGAACTCCAAGCAGTCTTCTATGACATTTTAAGTAGACCTAATCAAAGCCACGATAAACTTGGGGCCATAATGAATTACTGACACTGCTTAAAAGACAGAATGGTGAGCTAGAGTGTAGGACATTACTGCTATCAAGCTTCATATTATAGGCTTGAAACAACAAAACAAAAAATAAAACTGTTTACTTTTCTAGTAGTTGAGCCATCCTTTGATTCAAACGTCCAACCTATGGTAAAACACCACCATGAAACATACTATCTGTGCTGTTTGTGCTATCTTAGAAGCGTCACAACAATTCAAACCAGCTAGTCCCAAGCAAAAACAAATAAAAATAAAAATTCAAGACAGAATATGGAACAAGTTATCCTACAAATGCCAGAAGCATTTTTAATTAAGTCCATCTTTTCCTTTTAAGAGAAGTAACGCCACATGTGGATTTGGCAGGCAGCTACCATCACCGAGGCCGAGTTGCCATCTCGTTTCTTTTCCCTCTAGAACCTCTGAAGCTGCGTCTTTTGTGGACTTTGTTAAGAGTAAGAAACTTCACTTCCAGAGCTGGTAATGACGGGAAGTTGCTGCGGTAGCATCGTGGCGTTCAGTGCGCACAACCTTGCGCAGAAGCAGAAACCTTTTATGGTGTTAAGGCTGCTGTGGTGGTGCAGCTGCTGCTGCGTGCTGCGACATGGCTGCCGGGGAGGACATTGACTGAACCATGGGCTGAGCTGGTGGGGGGAGCGGCGGCTGAGGCTGTTGGGCCCCTGAGTGCGTGTTGGGAGAGGGTGGGGGAGTTGGACGTTTGAATTTGTCAGGACTGGCGCTTCTTCTTGGTGAGGGCCGCTATTTGTGAGAGAAAGAGAAAAGATAAATAAATATACTTAATCATAAACAACAAAGAAAGATGGCAGCATTCTAAACATAGCAGCAGCAATCTAACGGTTTGCACTTTGCGAGGATTTACACTTCGTTTAAAGCTAATAAAGCAATAAACCTGGAAAAATTGACTACAAATGTGGTGACAAGCATATTGTTTGAAAGTTGGTGTTTACAGAGCGGCAAACCACTAACGAAAAATATTGTAAATGGCTTCTTAGATTTAATTAAAAAAGGCAGTTGAAAGAGAACCTGCTTTTGATCGTGCAGGCAGGTTATTTTAGTTTTACTCCTGGGTGGGCTGAGGACATGGAGGGATGTGATTTGTATAATCCTAGGGCTGGACAATATGGCCAAAACTTTTATCACAATATATTTCTTAATTTCAGTTGATAACGATTAGGGCTGCACGATATTATCTGCATGGTATCGGCCGATATTAGCTTTAAATTTCAATATCGGACATTGGCCGGTCCAATAAAATAACTTGCCGATCTAAAAGGCGCTGTTTTTGCCTGCAGCGGCAGCACAACGTGATGATGTTACAGCAGCAGCGTTAACGCGATGACGTCACGTCCGCCTACCCGATCTCGTGGTGGAGAAAAAAAAATTCAAAATGTCGACAGTGTGGAAGTTTTATTTTTCGTTAGTGAGGATGGCGGATTCCCAAGCTTTATGGAGTACGTTGAGCCTCACTACATCGTCCGCAGTCAGATATTTTTCCGTCGAGTTACAAGCAGTCATTTTCGACGTCACTGAGAAGCTAATAGCCGATAGCACGACTTGTTGGGTGAGTTTTACCACAGACAGTTATATGTCAAGTGTTAGCACTGTTAGCATGATTAGTCTTATGGCCCAATGGATAGACAAAAACTTTGAACTTAAAAAGGCTGTCCTTCATGCACAGGAGTGCAGAGGATCCCACACTGCAGCTAGAACCTGGAACAAGCTTCCACAAGTGAAACAGCATCGCAGGTGACTAATGCTAATAAATAACATTTAACACTTTTTATTTAATATAAGTTAAAGTGCTACGCATATCATATGGCTGTTACTGAATATATGTCACCAGCTCTTACAGCTGTTGCACAATTGTTGTAGCAAATAAGCCTAAATAAGAGGGCTATGTTCTGACAAAGGAACGTATATAAAATATTGGTATCGGTATCGGGTATTGGCCAAATAAGTTTCAACATATCGGCATATCGGATACCGGCCAAAAATCCAATATCGTGCATCCCTAATAACAATATAATTCCGATAGATATAAACAATATAAAAGCCTCAGAAAAACTACAAACTGTACAAATATGTACAAATGTGCTTCATCTTCTGACTCTCAGCACATTCTATCGAGTGGAACAAGTTGGATGTGTTCCCACCGCTAGTAGGAACGACTCTCCGTCACATTTTGCAGCACACTGAAACCTGCAGTTTATCGGATCTTACATAGCCGAAACACTTCCAAACCGCCAAATTAGTCTTTCCTCTCTTATCAATTATGTCATCTACTTTCTCTTCGCTTGTGAAGGATTGTTCAGTCACATTCTGACGGTCATGGGCACTCATTTTGAAGCGAAAACTTAACATGCGTTGGCGATTAGCCTAGCCTGCTACTGCTAACTCCTTCTGGACTCGAGCTCTGCGTAACATCTACATCACCACGCACTTAAGTAGTTGTGTCGCTGCTTTTTCTGTCCGGGTGGAAACTGAAGTGGCCGCTTCAACCCGAACAAAAAAAGAAACGTGTCAGTGAAACGCTGTAATCATATCGAAATATCGAAAATGTGCTAAAAACTCATATCACCATTATTGAATAAAAGTATATCGCGATATATATCGATATCGAATTATTGCCCAGCCCTATATCATCCATAAGAAAAGATTGAGATGTAGAGGAGAGTGACAACTATGGTAAACGTGAATATTTCAGTACCAAATACTGGGAAGAAATGTTTAGCAAAAGACAAAGTTGCGAAGGAAGAGATTTTCTTTATTCTGCACGAGTATCAATTATTTAATCAAATACCTTTATGTTTTTGTTTTAATTTACTAGAGGCAGCTGCTGTTAAAGGTTTATTTTCAGATTAGGTAAAAAACAAACAAAAACTAGAGAATTTGCATTTCCTGCAAAAATGCAGTGTGAACGCTTATTGCTGAAGAACCTGCTGAAAAACAGCTGAAATTAGCTAAAAACATTCAGAAATGTAGCTGAAAAGGAAGAAGAGTTAGCAGAAGAAAACAAGTGGAAATTATCTTAAAAAAGTGAAAATTTCCCCCTAAAAACAGCTGAATTGTAGCTAAAGAAATGTAGAAAGAAGCTTAAATTTCTAAAAGGAAGTGAAGTGAGCTTAATTGTGCCCACTAATGCTGAAACAGGCAGAAATTAGCACAATAAAGTTGAAATTATCAGTCCAGATTTAGAGAGGGAAAGTATTGCTCAAATTAAAATCTCTCAATTTGTTTTGTAAATTGTAGATTTACCATCAGCAAGTAGGGGTCACTTCAAATACTGTACAAATAAGCTTTTAATACTCTACTAGAACTTTGTATTTTTATAGAAAATACCTGTTCGTGGGGTCATGTTTTAACCATATCAAAATTAAAAACATTTATTTATATTTGTCATGTTTGTAATCACAAAACAAACAGCTAACTGGACTTATAGTCCAAACAGGCAACAGTAGTGGTAGCTGGTTGATTAGTTTTTTTTGAGAGTTTTATCTGTAGTGTTGTGTTTTTAATAACCTGGGCCAGTTCAACAGCATGACTTGTACCATGCCCCTGAACATGTCCCTGACTGAAAAGCAAATGGGGGAAATGTTAATATTTGAAAATATAATTATATTAGTATTTTATATTGGAAGTCCAGTAGGCTCGTCAGCAACTGATCAATTGTCAATTGCAGTTTGTCCCGAGGTGAAACACCTCTTACCTGCAGGAACTGCACCCCCGTTTCCTCCGACAACATTGTTAGGATTTTGCATTTTGTGACAAATCACCAGGAAGAATGGTTAAATGTCATCAATGGGGAACGTGTAATTCAGACACGTTACCCTGAGCTTTTGGAGGATGTAATACAGTTTATTCCATTTCCAAAACCTAAAGGAAAAATGACAATGATGGACAAAGGCTGGCAGCCGACCTCATGAGCAGCTCAGCACAACAGAGGGTGACAGGAACTACCACATGTTGGTCTGTATGAGTAACTGCAATTAAATATTCTGGTTTTTGTCATAATTACATTGCAAGTTTAATGGTTAAATTCAAGGATAATGTTTAAAACTAGCTGTTCTTTGTTTTATATTTTGTATGTAGTATATGTCGCAACTTCTTGTTGTATAAGTTTAGTCTTTGTTTGCTATGATCAGTTAACATTACACTGATTTTGCTTAAAGTGTTTAGCTTGTTTGAAGTGAATTTTACTAGGGGTGCACCGATTGCAGTTTTCTGGCCGGTCATCCATCTCTAAAACGTCTGACCTGCCGATACCGATTTGGTTTTATAAGCGACACTGTCGGGTGTTAAGGTCACAATGTACCTTCAATGTTCCAATTTTATTTTATTGAAAAAAAAAAAACATACCCTTGAACAATATCCTAGAAACAATACAAACTTGTTTTAACTGGCCATGAGGTAGTGCTCTGAAATATAAATGAAGTTTAGACAATTGTTGTTAAAACTACAAAAAATCTGTTTCTCATGTAAGTATCGGCCGATCTCTGATCTCCCAAAATTAAGGAAATCAGGGCCGATAAATCGGCCGGTGCACCCCTAAATTTTACACTTAGTACATACTGAATTTCACTGTATATATTCTTGGCCTGCGTCACTCCGAGGCATGAAAACATCTACTGTTAACTATTTAAGTTAGTACTTTTGAAATTTGTTTTGCCTATCCTCTTGTAGTGAACTTAACCTGATGTCAAGACTAAGCCCAAGGTCAAAACCCTTGACCTTAAGAACCTTGTGGGACAGAAACTGTCGTTTCATTGATTTGAATCCAGAAATACAGGTTCACCCATCCTGAGACTTTCCTTCTTGAAAATCAAGTGAAAAGAACTCTCTTTTTATTATCATTACTATTTTACAAATGTTGATAATCAAAGTGTCTTAGTTCAAACCATTTTAGATGTTGCAGTGAACTAAGCAATTTTATTAACTGTAGAACAGTGATAATGATTTTTATTTCTCATGCAAAGTTAGAATTCATGTTAAAGCTGTTACAGAGTAATTATGCATTTTCTGATTTCTGTCTTTGAATGAGCAAGTGTGCGTTTTCCAGGGTCAGGAATCGAAGCAGACATGTGTTGGAACAACTGCCTTGTTGTTACATCCTCTCAGACGTCAACAGGGGGGTTTTGGCACCTGTTTCTAAAACTCGCCAAAACAAAACTCTCTCTGTCTGTGAGAACAGTTAATCTGTTCAATAACATTCTTGCTGTTTTTTCTGACTCCTAGTAACCTCTTACGTCACAAAACACACCCCTGTCTGGTCGGTACTGACCAATGGGAAGACTCCCGAATGAACCGGGAAAAGAGCTCTTTAAAATGTCAGTACTTCCTAGTTCTCGCAGAGTTGAAGTGAGTTCAGTTCTGCGCGGAGAAGCCCAGTTCTGTGGGTTTGGAGAAGTTCGGCGGCGCGGACAGTTCTGATATGTCCTAGTGCTGGCAGTTGCTGTGGGAGCCGGGAAGACCCTGACATGACCACAGAGCTCTTCCGAGTTTCATGGGATTATAACATTTTCCACTGAGGTGAGCTTGTGTCGGACAGAGTCTCGCCATTACTCCGGACGATTCACAGCCATCCTACGGAGACGCTGAAAGGGTGCGTTAAACGGAATCTCGCCTGAGACATCTCCAGGTAAAAGAGTCGATTTCACCACCTAAGTGTACTGTAAGGAAGAAGCTGAAGAAAGCCCGGAGAGTGCCGTTCTGTTCAACACTCTCCCTCAAACACCATCTTTCACCCCCTTTAAACTTCATTCTTTTCATCTTTAAATTCTTCTCTCAAGTAGAAATTCTTCCAGATATTTTAGAAATGTCTGTGTAAAGTGCTCATCCACTCTGAGTGGATAATTGATCATAATTGTACAGTTTTCATAAATGTCTGTGGTGAAGCAACGGAAAATCATGGCCGTATGGTTTTCCTGATTGATTATGTGTTATTTTCATATTTTGCCAAATTAATGTAAATGTTTGATGTTAAACTTTGATTCTGTAAATAAATGACCGCATTCATTTTGATGGGTCAAAGATAAATGACGTCTCACGTTTGCATTTCATTAAATTCAATGCACGTTTTATTCAGTCCAGAAAAATGAGGAATCCGTGTTAATTGATGAATATATCTGAGCATCTGTTCATCTACACTCTTTGCCTTAATGTTGGCTGATAAGGCAGAAATGCCTCACCAAATGGCTCAGGTAATGCTGCGTAATTACCTCCACTATTACAGCTATGTTACTTTACAGCCTTATTCCAAACTGTATTAAATTAATCTTGTTCCTCAGAATTACACGCACAATAACCTATTATGACAATTTGAAAAGATTTTTACAAATTTATTAAAAATAGTAAACTAAGAAATCACAATTACGCAAGTATTTACAGCTTTGATTGATCATGATGAACAAAGAAAATTAACTTTTTCACGAATAAAAATTTTAATATTTTGAGATGCACTTATAAAAACCTCACACAGAATCTAAAGTAAAAATTTAATTGATGAGACCAGAAAGTTTTTCTGAGCTAAAATTTAAACATTTTATTATGGACCCTTTTAAAATAAATAAATAAATAAAATACAGTTCACACAATTTCCCTTTTCCACAAAGTGTGTTTTTGGAAATTCTTGTACTCACACAAATGACCAAAGTCCTTGGGGAAAAAACATTTCCCTTCACAAACTGACCACAGGAATGTTGGTATTAGTTGTTGGCTGCTTATTTTTATTGTCCACATCTAAAAATAAGCTAAAACTAGCAGAAAATGTGATTAAATCAAAGATTACATTTAACAGAACAAACTCCAGTAGTGCTAATGCGTCCAGTGGTAGGGAGGTAAATTTTGAGTCAAAGGGTTTGATCCTCGGTCCCTGAAGCATGCCGAGGTGTCCTTGGCAAGACACTGGACCCTTCATTACCTTCTATATGCTTATTTTTTATGAATGACAACTGTTGGATGTTAAATGTACAAAACAAGCAAAAGAAAGCCCTGGATATGTGTGAATGGCAAAAATTATTGAGTGCTTTGCAGAACCTGGGTGGTTAAAAAAGCACTAACCATAATGTGTCAGTTGTTATTTAAAGGAGTAGAATAGTTACTGTGATGTAAAGTTCTGTCAAATAGTATGTTATCAGGTGTGACATCAGCCACAAAAGACAGAACATAAGGACACAAAAGGTAGAAGTTGCCTTCTAGGAGTCGGGCTAATTGCTAGCCAAACAGGAGCCCTTTCAGGCTTATAAAACAACTCTTTCCCAAAAAGATTATTCCAGTGTAACCCCCCACCCCGAATTACATTAGCTAATAATAAACCTCTACACTTTTAGATGACACCATTTTGTTCGTTTATCACTGGTTTCAAACAACATCAGTCTTATTATGTAAATGCAGGTGTACTGAAGCTGCTGACTGCATGAGTGTGCCTGGAGTTATGTAAGCATTTGGAACGACTAGACGGGCTGATCAGACAAACTGATACAGCTGATGATAAGGTACCAACTATTGATAACCACTTGACAGACGTTTTGTACAAAGTGGACATACTAGCCCATTTCAGGTCTCTCTTGTAAATGGGTCCTCAAGGCTCAATGGGATTAACCTGTCTAAATAAAGGTTGAATGATTTTTTTTCATTTTTCATTTAGCCTTTATATATACACAGGTAGTCTCATTGAGCCACGAGAACTCATTTTCAAAAGAGACCCATTTAGGGAGCAGATGGGGGTTAAGGTCCTTGCTCATGGGCCCAGAGTGGGACGAATGAGGGTGGGGGCAAGTGTGGGTACTTCACCTACCCCACCCACATTTTTGATGTTGTCGGTAGCGGGGCGTGAAACGGCGATCTTCCGATCACAGGCCCACCTCCTCTAACCTCTGCGCCACCACTCCCCCTATATTAATTAAGATGCATGCTAATGTTACTTACTGCTACAGCATGAGAGGAACTTCCATGGATGTGCAGGGCAGGGGTGTTGTAGTGGGAAATGGCAGCTCTGGACAGTGTTGCCGGAGGAGTGAAGCCAACTGTGTGAGGTCCATACGAGAGACCTGCAAGAGAAATGAGGAAGACATTAACAACAACAACAACAACAACAACAACAACAACAACAACAACAACAACAACAACAACAACAACAATTATAGTTATAATAATTATATTATTATTACTATTATTATAGTTATAATAATAACAATAATAATAAAAAAATAGGCTCTCACTTAAATATTGTAATAAACAAACTCTATAGTTTCTCCTACAATTGATTAGGTCAGCAATAACTTGCAAAAACCTGAAATGCCAATAAAAAAAATGTCATCCTGAAATTAACTGTGAAATCAGTCGTGTATTGGACCAACCTACGCTTTATATATTCATTTACTCGATGCACGTAACTAGGGATGCACGACAGCGTTTCCCCTAACATTATACAAGCGGGGTGCCCCACCCTGTCAACAGAACCGAGCGCCCCGCCTACTGAACACCCCCCCCCCCCCCACCTGTCGGCACCGATGTAACGCTAAACTAGCTGCTCGCAATACGCGTAGCTCAGGACGTATCCCCCCCAAACAACAAAATTCACGGACAAGATGAGCGCCCCGCCATGGCAAGTTATCTGGGGGAAACGCTGCACGATATTAGATTTTTGATCGATATCCGATATGTTAAAACTTATTTGGCCAAATAACCGATACCAATACCGATATTTTTCCCCTAGACTTAGAGACTACGTAGCTTTCTCTGCTGTGGAATTAAAATACATTATCCTGCATGGTCTTTGTCAATCTGACCTGCTACCAAATGCAGATGCCAAAAGGGGGGCTAAAAATGATTAAATATATAATACATATATAAAAAAAACACCTGTTCCTTTTATATCGATGAGTTATTCTGATGGAATAGCTGATGTCTGATATTTAACTTTATCACCAATATCGGCCGATACCCTGCTGATAATATTGTGCATCCCTACACGTAACACAATTTGATGTCATTCACAATGTGTTCTTTGTACTTTTCCTCCAAGACAAAATGTCTGTCAAACATAATAGAAGACAGAACAAGTACAAATTGTCATTTCAACTTTCCAACAAATGTTGCTACATAAAGAAAAAGATGTGATAAATAGAAGTACGTCCTTATTTCCACCCAATGAGTTGTGCAAAGCCAACACAATAAAACTAGACAACACTGAACACAATACGGGACTGTGATTCCCTGAAATAAACTTTTGAGTCTGGTTGAAAACCGTGCAGAATTAAACAAAATAACCCTCAATACCAGTACACTTAGATAAATTAGGCAGTATGTTTTCTCAAATACAGACACCTCTTCTTGCAAATGTTGACCGGTATTATCAAATTCAAACAGCACAGATCATGGTTACTTGAGCCCAACAAATTGAAGATTAACTGTTTTAAGTTCTAGTTATGGCATGAGAACAAAGTACAATTGAAAGTATTAGTTATCGTTTTAACAAAAATTTGCAACAAGTTTTACACAGAACAATATCTAATTTAACCTTTGTAACGAAGATAAAACGGTGAATCAAAGATAAAGTTATCAACTGATATCAAAGGTGCCTTTTAATTGTCGTGTTGTGCCTACCAGGTGATATAGGTCGACTGGAGCTGGGAGAGGGGGTGTAAGGGATGGGGCTGGACACGGTCCTTGCACGCAGACCCTGCGCAGACATTTCATTGAAGTACCTGAAAAGATTAGGTAAAATAATTGTTTTTTTTAATGCAACAAAAACAATAATGAGAATTGTTATTAGCATGCAATATGAAAAGCTTTTTCGTGGTTTGGTAAAGATGTCAACGGGTTTGTTTTAGTGGAATGTGAGGCAAACAGGAAGATAATACTTTTGAGTATTTCAGGGGCAACAAAATTTTGCTTATACGCAAGTGTGGTCACAAAAAATTAAATATAAACTATTATTTATGTTGATGTTGTACTACAAAACCTTCAATAAAATCAGTTTCTACTCAAATTAGTTTTACATGTTCTAAATTTAGTCTATTTTTGCTGCCAGGAAGAAGATATCCTTACATGCTGACAAAAGATATGACCTAAGCCATTTCTCACAGTTGCCAGTGAGATAACTGGAGGCGTGTGACCTCGAACTTATTGTTTTACACTCGGTAACAGAATATCATGTTGGTGTCCTAAAATTTGTGTTGTCAAATATACACCACACCCTACAAGTCCAAAACAAACACCCTGAACTCAAAACAGAAAATAAAAGCCTACCTGAACTTTGGATACATTCAAAGGGTTTATATTTAAGCTAAACATACATCTTGGAGGTTTTGCCAACAACTAGGAGTTTTATATTCTTTATCATACTTGATACTTCTGAAAGCTGACAGTAATCAAAACAAAACATGAGAGGATAGTAGTAAATTAAAAGTTAAAAATAACTCAATAAATTATTCCTGACTTAAACAAATAGGAAGACAGAAGTATCTGATAGGGATGCACAATATTATTGGCATGGTATCGGACGACGATCGACTTTGTCGTCGTCTCATCTGATCTGCGGCCGCAAGTCTTGGACGCTCGGGTGAAGAGAGGGGCGGAGCTGTCCACTGACCACTACCTTGTGGTGAGTTGGCTCAAATGGTGGGGGAGGATGCCGGTCAGACCTGGCAGACCCAAACAAATTGTGAGGGTCTGCTGGGAACGTCTGGCAGAATCTCCCGTGAGACGGAGCTTTAACTTTTGTAGAGGCGGCTTATCGGAGCTGTGGCCACAAGGTTGTCGTGTCTGTCGTGGCGGTAACCCTCGAACCCGGTGGAGGACACCAGCGGTGAGGGATGATGTCAGGCTGAAGAAGGAGTCCTATCGGGACTTTTTGGCCTGTGGGACCCCGGAAGCAGCTGATGGGTACGGCAGTCCAAGCGGCATGAGGCTCAGGTGGTCGATGAGGCAAAAACTCGGGCGTGGGAGGAGTTCGGAGAGGCCATGGAGAATGACTTCCGTACAGCTTCGAGGCAATTCTGGTCCACCATCAGGCGTCTCAGGGGGGAAAAGTAGTACGCCACCAACACTATTTATAGTGGAGGTGGTGTGCTGCTGACCTCAACTCGGGATGTCGTGGGTCAGTGGGCAAAATACTTCAAAGACCTCCTCAATCCCACTGGCACGTCTTCCACTGAGGAAGCAGAGCCTGGAGACTTTGGGTGGGGATCTCCAATCTCTGGTGCCGAGATCACCAAGGTGATTAAAAAGCTCCTCACTGGCAGGGCCCCAGGGGTGGATGAGGTTCACCTGGAGTTCCTTAAGCCTCTGGATGTTGTGGGGTTGTGTTGGCTCACACGACTCTGCAATATTTCGTGGACATCGGGGGCAGTTCCCCTGGATTGGCAGACTGGGGTGGTGGTCCCCCTATTCAAAAAGGCCTCCTTACTTAGGCTCCGACCCCGGATAAGAGGAAGAGAATGGATGGAACGGCCAATATTAGCGATAAATTTAAATAATCTAATCGGACATCGGCCATTCCATCAAAATAACTCACCGATATAAAAGGCACTGTAATTATATATATATATATATATATATATATATATATATTACATCATTTTCAGCCCCCTTTTTGGCACCTTCATTTGGTAACATGCCAAACTGACAAAAGACCATGCAGAATAATGTAGTATTTTAATTCCACAGCAGAGAAAGCCATGTAGTCTCTGTAAGTAGGTCTAGGGGGCAAAAAATATTGGTAGTGGCATATCTGATAGCGGCCAACAATTCTATATTGTGCATCCCTAGTATTTGAATTAGTCTTTGATAGCAAACTTAAATGTGACTGATGGACAAAATGTCTTGATTTCACAGCAAAGAAGGGATTCTTTGTGCACCTTTTATGCTCAAGGTGTTACAATACTTGTAAGTAAAAATAAAATCAAATACTCTGCATAAATAGACCTGACATTGTTTTACAATATAGCTAATCCTAAGTATTTACATGTTCATGATTTAGAAAAGAAAAAAGTTCTTGTGACCTGTGGTCAGAAAAAATAAGCAAACATCTGAAAATTATGTAACTAAAAAATAAAGGTAACAAATAAGATTTTTTTGAACTGGATAAAGGGGAATATGTTCGACACGTCACCAAACCAAAATCACACATTGTCAATTTGCCAGTCATTTTGAAAATCTGTAAAACTAACAACAACATGCCAATGAAAGAGCAAGTGCTTTGTGCTGAGATAGTATACATGTACGCTGTTTTTTGCATTGCTCATGCTTTTTGTTACTGGTACAAGCTCATGTATTTGGCAATGTGAGTCATAGAACAAGTAAATGGAGCAAAATGTTTTTACATTTATTGTGATATATACACATATTCAACCACGGGTCTCTGATCCACTGACTTCACTGATATATGCAATTTTATGACCAATTTTAGGCTATTGTGATCAAAATGATCATCTCCATGAGCGATTTATCTTTTACCTCTCATCATCCATCTCCAAACTGGATTCACTCTCTGACAGTTGTCTGCACAGGGCCTCCCTGCGCTCCATTTCTCTTTGAAGCTTTCGCTGCAACCGAATGTTCTCCTCCCTCATCTGTCGCTCCTCTTCTATGTACTGGGCACGTTTCTCTGTGTCTGTAGGACAGAACATACACAAACAAAGTTTGTGAGTACACATCATTGACATATAAAGATAAAAACAAAAAATAAAAAAACACCTACAAATAAATTTAATCTTGCTACGTTTGGGGGAAAAGAACAACCTATAACAATGTCTTTTACTAATCAAAGTAACAGTCTAACACATTTCTGCTCCATCAAATCAGTAGTAAAGCAGTATTTATTAACACTGCACCTCAAAACGTGGTAAAGGTTGGACTTGCATCTCCCTCTAGTGGTGAAAAAGCACACAGACAATACAGTATTGGGTAACAATCGGGTACATATAGTTTATCGCTTTGTTACTGGTAAGTGCGGCTCCACTCGGCTCTCCTCTTTTCGGTTCCTCTCAGGTGTAGTGATTTGCCACTACGGTGGAAGCGGACCGGTTTCCTTGCTCTGTGGGCAGGATCATCACTACAAAGCAGGTGGGATCGTAACTGTTCTGTGTTCGAGCCACTCTGCCTGTTGTGGTCTTTCATCGCACTAAAATCGGACTTGAATTTCGTTAGCTTATCCCGGCACTGCTGATAAGTCTGGGTGTAGCCATGCGGCACCATCATCTCCAATATCTCTCTGTAAATGCGCTCATTTCTTGTGGCATTGTCTGTCAACATGATGAGGAAGTGGAGATTCAGATGCAGTTTGCAGTTTTGCTGAACGGGTCATCCAGTGACATGGCTCTGCTGGTCAATCAATGGCTGCTGTCTGCTTATGTCAAAAGCAGAACCTCGAAGTAGATCGTTTGGAAGCTCAAACAAGCTGAATGGGGGTGGGTACCAGCACTGGTGCTGTATCGTGCGGAGCCGATGAGTTGAGACCGTGGCAAAGCGCCAATAGTAGTAACATTGGTGTTCAACAATTTGTTGCCTTACTTTGTTATATACCGTAATGATATATAAACTCTTTAGGTTTGCAGTTCAAGTAGGAGTTTACAAAATCAAGTTATTCTTTGACGTGGAAGCATGCGATATTCAATTACGACTTGTAAAATATTCCTTTACTGCACTATTAAATTATTTAAAAGAAACCCATTCTAATCTACTTGATCACATCCAGTAAAGCTTTATTGAAGCTTTCCATTAAAATATTATGAGGCTTCACAAAAAAAGCAACATCTGTAAGCAGAGTTGGATGAATTCTTACAAACACTGCATGTGACTATTAACTCAGCTGTTGCTGTTGCTACACTTCCAACTTTTTAATACTTTGTCAACTATCCTGCACAAAGTAAGATGCTGGATTTACTTGATGCAAATATTAGAGATGTGCACACTTCTTTCGCTTCTTCACCTTTGCTGCAACAAGGGCATGCACAGAAAAGCATTTCCTGTTTTACGTATACATTTTACTTCATTGTGAACAGATTTTCTTACTCTAAAACCTACATTGCAACAGTATAATTTATTGTTTCAGATTAATGTAGTAATGCAACAATAATATGTAGGGTCAAAATGACTATTAAAAAAAAAAAAAAAAAGATAAAACTGCAGTTACAGACTAAAATTATGTTTTTTAGAGAGAATTGTTGCAGACACCATTCTTTTTTTAAAACCCATTTTCTGGTGAAATGTGACCAGTGAAGAACAAAAAGGTCACAAAGTTGTAAACCATACGTGTAAGGCAAGAACGTATCCAGTTCTGACTGTGTTAAAACTACACCAGTGTGCACTGGGTGGAATTAATTCCCTATTTGAACATCAGTTTTACCCTTTACAAACAAATCAACATTTAAGGCCGTTTGCTTCTTTGAAACCTACGCCCACAAGATGATGTGTAACGATGAGTGAACACTTACGCTGCAGCTCAGTGGTACGCAGGCTTTTCTTAAGCCTCTCCACCTCATTCTTCAGGAAGCGGATATGCCGCATCATGTTCTCTGGTGAGTCTATTTCCATGGAAACATCTCTAGGGGAAGGAGGAGCTGATACAGGCTGGTCCAACTTCTCTTGAAGGATTCTAGTTTTAAAAAACAACCAAACACCACTTTCCATTAGCTAAAATGACAGGCTTTCAACAAGAACCTTTATGAGATTATAAAACAAATAGAAAACAAGAAATTTGTTCAATTACTTTAATATATATATATTAAAATATTCTTTCTGGTTTTTGATTTGGCAGGTATAACCAATTAAATAATATAAACATTTTGCTGTAGTTATGAAAACAATTCTCTTATTTACAGTAATAAAAACACTGCTTTGATTGTTGATTTTCTTCCATTTTCAGTGACCCAAGTTAAACATTAACATGTTTTAGTGGCAGACATGCATCACATTAGTCCTTAATTTGAGCTCGTCTGACAAACACAAAAATAAATAAGACACAAAAATAGCTTTTCGTATTCAAAATAACTCTAAAAACCTAAAAAAATGTAAAATGTATCAATGCTTTCATTATTTCTCAAATTTTACTAACAAATTATAACACTGTCAAAACACTGCCATTAGCTTTAATCAGATTCCAAGATGTAGCAGAATACTGTCCTACTTGATAAATTATTAGAAAATTAACTTATTGATTGCTATTTCATAAAATTATTTCTACAAATGTTTCTTTTGATGATAATAGCTTTTGTTTAAACTTTATTTATAAACATCTGAGACAAAAAAAGAGCAACATTTTATACCTTTTCTCAGCCTCCAGTTTGTCCATTCGTTTCCACAGCCTGTTGACGAGGGCTTCTTGTTCCTGCTCTAACGTGTTCTCAAGGTCAATTTTCTCCCGCCTCAGCTGGAAAAATAAAGTGCACAGAATGACGTAAAGAAACCTTGACGTTATCAAGAATTCACACCAAAACTCTACTTCTAATCCAAGGTTATTATTCTAAGATTCTTTTTCCTTACAGCTACGGCTGTGTCGCAGTTCTACAAAAACCCTTCACAATTGTGGGTAGAGTTAAATTTGATTTTCAGCTGATATACAAAGAGTTGGGCAGCGCTTTGGCATTTTTCTATTAAAACCGACTCATTTAAGATAAATAAGACAACAATGTCATTTGTCTGAATCAGATTTAAATGCATAGTGACAATGTGCATGTGCAAATATGACAAATTGGTATAAAAAAAATAAATAAATAATAATAATAAATTTCAGGAACATCTAGTCACAGCAGAGTTTAACCAAACTATATCATACATGTGCTCAAGATCAACTTGTACTCATTAGATTCAAGATCTAGCACAAGCAAACCTTACCTGTTCCAGGGTTAGCTGCTTCGAGATGGTTTCATTCTCCATTTTCTTGATCTTTTTCATAAGCTTGTTAACCTGGAACTCCTGCTCTTGCTCCAAGTGCTGCTCCAACTCAGCCTTCTCATGTTGGAGCTAAGACGGGTGAAAAGAGTAAACGAACAAAGGAAAATGAGTAAATGAAATTGATTTAAAATAGGCGAAGAATCAAAGTGCAGATGAGACAGAAGATAAGCCTGAAAACAGACAAACAAAAATACCATTTGATAACCACATAAACGCCCTGGATATTGAAGTTGACATTAAACGTTGATTAATAAGTCACACCACTAAACAAATTTACTGAATATACGGTTAAACAACCCAGAAAAACATTATAATCTTGCTAACTAAAGTACTCTTGGCAGCTCACTAGAAGTAAAATGGGTGTGGCTCACTGGTGACTTAAAAATGGGACTTCTCTGTGAGCAAGTCTGGACTCTAAGTAATTACTGAATAAGGAAAAAGTTGTGAATTCATTGGAACTTTTTAAGGGAAAAAAGTTATTAGAAATAGTGGAAACAGTTAAATGTTGTGGTTAGTACTTATGACTACATTCATACAAACATAAATGCTCTGCAAGTATCCCAACTGAAGGAATTTGTTTCACAAAGTTTAGACACACCCAGAACAGCATTTTTGTTTTAACACACACTAAAGGTTTAAGCTATATAACATGCAGTTCTGCAAAGTTTCAAGGTCTAATTTTCAAAAATGCATTTTTGAGTTCTTGCCAAAATAACAAGGCTTGCACATTTTCCCAATTGTAAACATGCTTCAAAACAACGAGTTTATTTATTTTGTCCATTGTTTTCATCGTTCTTTGTTGAAAAAGGTCTCTCTTGTAAATGAGTCCTCGAGGCTCAATGGGCTTTACCTGTCTAAATAAAGGTTGAATGAAAAAAAAAATCTCAGAGGAAAGATTTGAACTTCATTGTCTTTTTATAAGGCTGACGCTGGCTTATCAAGGGCAACTCTTAAACATTCATGTTTTACTCTATCATAAACTGTGAAGAAGATACCATTGTTCAGTTTGTTCTCTTTCAACATGTTTCTGAATTATTACACTCCAATTTGCATCGTTGGTCTTTCTAGCAGAGACTTAGTCAACAGAACCTGAACAGAGATAATGTCACTGCAGAGACTGAGCAATAAAGTCTTTCAACCAGCCACCGTCAGGCCAACAACCTGCAACTGTAAATCACCATTCTTGCAGACATGAGTATCTGGTACATGGTGATGCAACAGCTACTGTTCTTCAAAGACCCTAGACCGATGGTCAATCCTGGTGCTCAAGGGCCACTTTCCTGCATGTTTTCTCATGCTTCTCAGGAGGTCTAAGTTTTGCAGAAGACTGTTAATCAATCATTCATTCACATTAGATGTGTTGAAGCAGAGAAAGATCAAAAACATGCAGGACAGTGGCCTCCTGAGGACCAGGATTGAAGAATATACTGACCAAAGCTACAATCACCCCAACACACTGAGCAAAAAGATACAAGTTATATCTTTTTTTTTTTTCTCAAAAAGAACAATGTACACAAAGAGCAAGCACCACATTGCAACAGCAACAACCATTAGAACGACATTTTATAATTTGTTTAGCAAATACATTTTTTGCAGTCTAATAAACTACAGTAGTGTCAGAACTGGACCTGAAACAATATATTAATCTAATAACTAATCTAACCATCCGTAGCCACGTTTGAGCGTTTTTCAGTTATGTTATTTCCTGCTCAATCTCCAAGATGGCAAAGCTATATTGGTGTAATAAATGTTGTTTGAAAAGAAAAACAAATTACTCTGAACTGACAAAAACATAATTTAGTGCATTGAAAGTGGGGCAATGATTGAAAACATTACTCAAATTCTATTTAGTTATTTAAATTCAGATCCACTGAACGCAATGACAAAGTACAACAAGTAACACTCGTTACATAAAAACACTTCCAAGCATTTACAGTTACAAAAGACTAACCATGCACATTTGCTTAAATCTCAAATCATCATCAGAGTTGGGGTTTTTACATTCTTGTCAGAAGCAAGCCTTTGGGTAACAGGCAGACCTAAAGCAGTATTTACCGTACATGTGATTATCGTACCCACCACTGCACCCTGTATTCACTGGTTAACTGGACATCATTAACTTCACGCAGACTCTCTCACTGGTACATTTTCATCTTTAAATCACTTCTTGGTCTGCTGCCTTCATACATCTCCTCCTACATGTCTCTGCATGAGTGCAGCTACAGCGTGCGCTCTCAGGACATTATTACCTGCAGTGTTCCCTCAGTGAGGACTGAACTAGGCAAAAGGGCCTTCTACTCCGCTCCCGTTTCCTGGAATATCTTACAAAAAGATTTGAAGCTCTTGACCTCTCTAAGTGGTTTTAAGAATCTGTTGGACTCCTGGCAGGGACCAATGCAGACATGTTCCTGTTTTTAGTTTTTTACATTCACCTTAGAATCTAGATGTTTTTTGTTACTTTTCATTTTTTTTAGCCATCCTATTTGTTAAAAAATAAATAAATAATAAATCTGTATGACTTTTTATAACCGTTAATTGTTGTCGCCGTTGTCCATTGTTGTCATCATTCTTTGTTGAACTCAGGTCTCTCTTGTAAATGAGACCTCGAGGCTCAATGGGATTTACCCGTCTAAATAAAGGTTGAAGGAATGTGCCCACCACAGAGTCTGACTTTTGATAACAAACCACTGCCTTTAACTAACTAGTGAAAGCAAAAGATGATATAAGTGTGTCTTTAGTTGTGAAAATGTGAAAAACGGATAAAAGCAAAGACTCGACAAGTAGGAGTAACGTAATTAATGTAAGCCCCTGGACAATAACTGTGCAGTTGATAAAACATTTACTGCATCATGGCAGTGCATAACCACTGTGCAAAGTAACTATGAAAGCTTGTGAAAATGCTTAACTTTCAACTGTGCAAAGCTGAGACATTAGGAGAGCATGACTATAACTGACGTGCTTTTAAAATGATGAGAACAGCCTTGAAACATGACAAAAGCTTGAACTATTCTCCAATGTCAGCCAGAAACCTTCTTGCACCCATCACTCACTTGCATAAGCTTCCTTGACAGTTCATTAGTGAGAAATTCCTCCTCCTTCTCATAGTTGACTGCCAAGGTCTCCTTCTCCTTCTGAAGAGCCTGGATCTTCTTGAACAAGGTGTTGCTGATAAATTCTTCCTCCTGCTCCGCTCTTGCTTGCTGTGAGACACAAACACATGGGGATAACGCCAGAGGAAACATCAGTAAAGTACATTTCTCTTGCATATTGCTAATGAAACTGGAGCAACAAACCAATGAGTACTGCCATATATGCAGCAATTAAGAGTTTGCTGCAGTGAAGTGGGTGAGCCAAAGAGGAAGTACAAGTTTCCCAAATGAGTCAAGAGACATTGCAGTACCAGCTGACTTATGAAGGGAAGAGTGAAACATGGAGGCCATTTGAAAATTGTGTCTGAACAGCTACAGCAGCTAGCATTACAGTGTGATATGTCTACCCTTGCAAGTCTCATTCCTTGGACTGGACTCTTTACTAACCTCAAGGCTAAATTGTATTTTTTTTTTTTTTATGATTACTGTTGCAGAGATTTAGGAAGAAAAAAGAAGCAATATTAAAAATATAACTATACAACTATGCTACTTCAGCTACACAAGTTTTCCAGATGTTTAATAGAGCACAGGGACGTTCACCTGCAGTGGCAATACTACATTTCTACAAAAAAAACTAAGACTTTTTCCTAACTCAAATGTTCATATTTCTAAGTCACTTTTGCATCTATAACTGTTCCAAAGTCAACTTATCGATTCATTAGGTTCATAAAATCAACATGACCATATTTTTATACAAAACTTTATAATTTTGTAGTAAATGGTGAGCTATGCAAACTAACTTGTAATATTGCTTTAAACACATTTTCAGTTGCTCAAAAACATACTAATGGCTACAAGGTTGAAAACACTAACCCAAGGCTTGATTAGGTAGATAAATCAAAATTTGACTGAATATGCATTTTTATATACATGTTAAACATGCTGCTTGTTAGAGCAATATACACCATACGTCAAGTTTGGGCTGGATGCTAAAAGTTGTAACGAGGCATCCACCCAACAGATCGGTTACACATTTGAATTTTATAAAAGCTGGGACTGATTAACTAGGCATGATGAAGACATGAGGCGTCACCTCATCAGGCCAATGTGTTGCTGCCATCCCCCCCACCCCAAGCCTAGTTACCGTAATACTTAGTGCTCATAAAAATGTGCGGCATATGGAGTAATCAGTTCACCAAATACAAAAACCCCAGAATATAAACTTGCATGTACGCTTGTGCACTTTATTTCGGACGCCTTTAAGTTGGTTTGGCTAACGTTAGCAACGCTAAGCAAAACAAAGCAAACTAGCTGCCTATCACTGCCCCACCACCTGGGAAACGATGGCTATTTAGCAACATCTAACCATAGCAGAGCGAGCAAAACAACAAGAGGCGTTATCAACTACAAACAGTGTGCTAGCATTGATTATTTACCGCTAAACAAAAGACATTAACCGGAGCTAACTTGCTGACAAATTCGATACATTTAGAAAGCATGGCGATAATAGCATGTAGCTCGTTAGCTCGCTAACGTTACTCACAATGGTGACGCTAGCTTTGCGGAGGTCCCGATTCTCCTCCTGCAAGGCTTTGCACTTTAGTTTAAACGTCTCCAGCTCAATTTTCAGAACTTTGTTCTCTTGTTGCAGCGACGCAAGGCGGTTCGTCAGCTCTTCCAAACGAAACTGTGAAATGACTATGCTCGGTTTCCCAGAATTAGAAGCGGAGGACGACATTGGGGTGGCTGAGCTGCTCCCCGCTCCGTCAGTGTCGCTTTCGCTCGCGCTGTCCGCCATGGTTGTGGAGTAGGGAGGAGGACGGCAGCTGCAGCAGCGTTTGCTTTGAGAGGAGCACGCATTTTACGGCAAGCAGTTGTACGATATATTGGAAACACACCATGTCAATGACAACATCTTTTCTAGTCAAAATTACATTTTACAGTTTTTCTATTCAAAATACTCTATCTTTCTAGATTTTTATACATTCTCAATCTTGAACTACATGGAGGAATATAAATGAATGCAAAGATAAAAAAAAAAACCCAATAATAATAATAATAAACCCTAAATGTCCTGATTTCAAAATAAGTCTCAAAACAGGTGAAAGCTGGAGTAGGGCTTATAAATATAAACCCTAAATGTCCTGAATTCAAAATAAGTCTCAAAACAGGTGAAAGCTGGAGTAGGGCTTATAAATGACTTGCGTTCCACCCATTTATGTATTTACTTTACACAACATTAAAAATAATTGACAATCTAAACAGTTTTTATACGAGAAACAACAAAACAATGTAAACAACAGCACTAGACAACACATGCGGATTCTTTTTGTTTGCTTGTTTTATGTTTGGCACACAAACATGATTATCTTTGTCATTATCAATATATTTATAATTTTTAAAAACATTATCAATCAACAAAGTCCATGCTCAATAATCCAGGTATACAAGCCAACAAATTGTTAGATTGTATACCTGGATTATTGAGCATGGACTTTGTTGGTTTTGAACCAGTTTGACATGACTGTCAACGAGGAAGGGGGCCGGTACTGGAGGAGGGGGCGTGCCAAAGAGACCATCTTAGCACCAACAAAACTGGTTTGTTCCACTTTGGAGTAAGCTGTTGAGGGAAGAATCAGTTTTGTGTTGTGTGTTTCCTTGACTGATGAAGCCTTCTGGATGGAAGGTGAAACGTTTCAGCACAAAACAAAAAGAAACCGTCCAGATGACATGACTGAAAATTGTTAAACATTATCAATATGTATTAGGTGTACATAGATAAGCACTTAATAATCATATCATTTTAAAAACATGTTTTTAAACTTAATGGTTTACATTTTTTAACAGTTCATTATAGCTCTTTCACAATTTCCTCCATTAACTGAAACACACTCTTTTTTTGACATTAATCCTGAAAAAAGCTTATTTTGAAACATAAATTGTCCTCCAGGCCTATACGTTATCTTTTGAAACAGTATTTGAATATTAACAGCTAAAAGTTGATTATTTGCTTTTTACATAACTTTGCCAGTACCAAGACCATAACCTTTAACATACTTCATTGACAAACACTGCATTTATCATCTCTCTAGTTTTATACACAGTCCTTATTGCTCTTTTTTGAAGCATGAGAACGAAATTAGTGTGGGTTTTGTACACATTTGCACACATTTCTATGCAGTCTGTTGTCAATGTTCCCAATACAAGTGATGCCACTTCAGCTCCAGATATCCACAGCTGTTCTTTGTCAAAATGAACAAAGATTGTGGACATCTGGAAAACAAAAATACAAGAAGTAAAGTTCCTTTTAGAAACTTACACTGCGGCCATTTTGACAAGGATAAACTTAATTGTGTACATATGCCTGGAGTTTGTCTATCCAATATATGCTAAATTTGGTTGCCTTGTCCGCAGAATTGTACATCGTGTCACCTTGTTCTAGTTTGTTGACACAGCGCCTCCACCAGGATGTCTCCAGTACTGCCAACTGCATGACACAACTGGGATCTTCACAAAATCCAGACAGGACTTGAAATACACGAATTCATTCAACCTTTATTTAAACAGATAAATCACACGAATGACAACAAATCTGAAATACAAAATTCTCCAACATATTCTGTGCATGAATGATAAAATCCAAAATGTGCTGATTTATTACGAGACAATTATCCCCAAAAGGTTCTTGTTTGGCCTACTTTACTCCATGCTTACAAAGTCTTCTGTATTTTTGGACAGTTGTTTATCACATAGTTGCTATTTTGGGGTCTTACTTTGATCAAAATGGCAGTCAAGTTACAGTTGTTTTGTATCACTATAGCCCTTTTTTGACACTGGTGTCTAAACTTTAATATCAAAAATTGCCAATGTTATGCTTTCATCTACAACAGACAAAAGACAAGGGTGCAAAAACAACAATTTGAGTTTGGAATATTCAGTTATGAATTATTTGCATTCACAAGTAATCCAATAAATTTCACTTCACAGAAACAGCATAAACTCAAGATTATCATAAATATCAAGACTACAAGAAATATGTTGCTTTTTGAAGACATGAGGAGCGCTATTACAAACATTTAGTCTGCTGTTTTATTAGAAAATGTGGCATTCTGTAGCAAAAGTATTTGTGGAACTGTGCAGCTGATTAATTGCAAACATATAGACATTACTGTTAGAAAAATGTTTACTTCCGAATCAGTATGCAAAAAATATCTAAATATTCCCTATGTGTGAATGAAAGTGTGAATGGTTGTTTGTCTCATTTGTCTCTATGTGTCCCTGTGATGGACGTACGACCTGTCCAGGGTGTTCCCCGCCTCTCCCACGGTGATAACTGGACATGGGCACCAGTGACCCCCGTGACCCAAAATGGAATAAACGGGTAAAGATAATGGATGGATGGATGGATGATAGGGAGTATTGTTTATTACATGTAAACTTAATCTCTCATGACTTATTTTGCTTGTTTTTTGAGAAACAGCCCAAATAAATGACAAGCAGGGTATTCTTAAACAAATTTAAGGTAAAAATCTTCTTATTCTGATGCATGTGCAATAATCCAGATAACTCAGACAAGGTTCAGGTCAGGCCCAGACCTCTGAAGAAGGCTTTTGGACAAAAGGCGAAATGTTTCAACAAGAAGAATCCGTCCCGAGGACCTGACTTAACCTTGTTAGATAAAAACCTTCTTTTTCTTCTATTTTCAACATCTCCCTTTTTCAGGGATCGCCACAGCAAACTAACTCGCACGAAGACTTGGCAATTATTTTTACGTCAGATGTCTTTCCTGACACAACCACAGACCACCGAGCTACCACAGCCCTCTGTGTGGAGCAAAGAGCTGCCTTTAGGGTACCTGGGGGATCAGATAGTGTGGGTTAGGCCCAGAGTGGGGCAAAAGAGGGTGGAGGCAGGTGTGGGTGCTTCATCTTTTCCACCCACATTTTGATGCTTTTGGTCTTGGGATTTGAACTGGTAACTTTCTGATCACAGGCCCACAGATTTAAGGTAAAAACCATTAAGCCTATACATATTACACTGATCTGAAAAAATATATTACCTGTCTAAATAAAGGTTGAATGAACATGGGAAGAATTGCTTTGTTTAAGTACCAGTAATTACAGTGTGGCTGGACATTTCTCTGTTGCATTAATGCCTAAAATACAGTGATGTCTGAACTATTGAGCGCACCCAAATATAAGCCGCACCCACTACACTAAAAAATAAATAAATAAATAAATTTGTACATATATAGGCTGCATTTATGTATAAGCCGCAGGTGTCCATGTTGTAAAGCGAAACATTTACACAGAAAGATTTTTTTTAACTTTTGATTAAATATGTACCGGTAACATACACAAAT